GCATGCACCCTCCTGCCTCACTCTGTCCCACTCCGTCAGTGAGAAACGATGGTTCTGGACCTGGGCCCACCCTGATGACCTCACTCTGATCTGGTTACAGATGCAAAGACCTTGTCTCCAAATAAGGTCGAATTCTGAGGATTGGGCCAAGGCCTTCAAGGTAGTGACGCACACAGTGGTTAACAGATAGACAGGATCTTCCAAGGTGAGTTGTTCTTCATGGGAAGCCACTGAGTGACTTACTGAGACCCTGTCTCAAAATAAAATTTAAACACGGGCTGGGGATGGCATTGAGTATGAAGGGCCTGGGTCCAATGCCCTTCCCTTCTGTCCACATGCTTTCTTTGTAACTGAAAGTGATGCCTGGAGCAAGGGCAGCCACTTTGGATTCACAAGGGGAGCAGGGCCAACCAACACCCATGCACAGAGATACAGAAAGACAAGAAGAAATGCAGGTCTTTGGTGTTCTTGAGGCTCTGAATAGCAGAAACCAGAACCGGAACCTCCCTGCCCTGAGACTTGTATGTACTATGGTGGATTTTCCTTATTGCTAAAGCAGACATGAAAAGCCACCCCATGCTTACTGGAAAATTCTTCTCAGGAAGTCTCTTGAGGCAAGACCTTGACAGGCCTTGGGAAGGGCGTGTCTGCCCTCAGCCTCAAGGAGCTGAGAAGGAAACTGGGTATTCTTTCTCTCCCACTTTTTTGAGGGGGTTGGTGCTGGAGTGGAGTTCCTGAGGATCAAACCCAGGATACTCTTGTCACTGAGCTACACCCAGCTCTTTATTTTATTTTATTTTATTTTTGGTACCGGGGATCGAACTCAAGACCTCACGCTTGCAAAGCAGACACTTATGCCACTGAGCTAAATCCTCGCCCCTCTTTTTTATTTTTTAATTTATTTTGAAAGAGTCTCACTAATTTGCCAGTCAGGACTCAAACGTGTGATTCTCCTGTCTCAGCTTCCCCGAGTGCTGGCATCCTGGGAGTGCTGGCCTCCTGGAGCGTCTCCCCCAGGATGGAGGCCTGTGTGACCGATGGCTGTCTGAGGATGGCCTCCCCTGGGGACGGTGCCCACCTCCAGGGCAGAGAACAAGCAGTGACTGCACTCGGAGCCCCTGGCCCCCCAGCCCTGTGCCCACCCTGGAACCTCAGTTGCACAAGGGCCCAAGGGCTCACAGGCTGCTCCCCACTGCCTCCAAACAGGGGGAGGGAGGGAGGGAGGGAGAGAGGGAGGAAGGGATCCTCCCCGCTGTGGGGTTTCCCAGAGGTGGGGCCCCGGAGGGTGGGGGCCCCAACAAAAATGGGGCAGTGGCAAACCCAGCGGCAGAGTTGCTGCAACTTGTTAGGTCCCGGGGAGTCACCAGGGCGCCAGAGAAACTGCACCCAGGAGGCCGCTGAGCAGGCGCCAGCAGGAGGGAGGATTGGCCTCAGGAAGCCACGATGCCCAGCCTGGTGTGTGTGTGGGGGGGTGGTTTTGTGTGCTGGGTCCTTGCTAGGGAGGACCATGAGGACAGGCGTGAAGTCACATGTTTGCCCTGAGCTACATCTCCACCACGTTTTTTTGAGGCCAGGTCTGTCTGAACTGTTAAACTTCCCAGGCTGGGTTGCAACTTGAGATCTTCCTGCCTCAGCTTCCTGGAGTAGTAGGAACCCAGGCCACCACACTCAGGGCCACAGGAGTAAAACGCTGCTGGGTACTAGCCACTGGCATGATGAGCCGAGGCACAGGCCACTGTCTGCTGTGGGCTTTGTGGCCCCTGGCTGGCACAGCCCAGGCCCGGTGTTTGGCCTCCACCTGCCTCTTCCCAGTGAGCCACCGGGCTGGGCCAGGCTGGGCCACTGTGCCAGCTGACGTCCTGCACCTTCCATGCAATGCAGCACGGATGACGCCACCATGGCTCAGCTGGGGCCTTCCCTGCTCTGGGCATGGCATGCGAACCATGGGTATAGGCAGCCACTTTCAGCCTTGCAGGAAGGGAAGCGCGGCTGCTTGGAGACACCCAAACCCCTCTGGGGCAAGCCAGAGTCCTGGGATCATGAGCCACACACGATTCCTGTCACAGGTCCAGACCCGATCAGGCATGCTGGCCCCTCCCCCCCTCGGTGTCCTGAGTTGGGGTGCCCCTAACTGGACAGGAAGGAACCCTACTGCAGTCACCTCTCCAAATGCTTCCAAAGAAATATGGAGCCCAGAGTGGCAGTACAGGCTTGTAATCCCAGCACTTTGGGAGGCTGAGGCAGGAGTATCACAAGCTCAATCTCTCCCCATCCTATCTCAAATTGGATACAGTGGCACACGCCTGTAAATCCTGGCATTTAGGTGGCTGAGGCAGGAGGATCGCTGGGTGTTTAAGGCCAACCTGGACCACGGGCAACACGGCAAGACCCAGTCTCAAAAACATAAAAACAAAAGGATCCTATTTCAAAATTAAAAATAAAGAGGGGCTGAGGGTGTTGCTGAGCACAAAGGAGAGTGAGAAAGAAAAAAAATTCAGCAAGGCAGAACATGACTGTCTATGTTCAGGGAAGACGCAAAATTCATCTTCCAGAAAGCCCTCTGTGTCGAATATTCCACCACAGCGCCAGCCTGACTCCTTACATCTGAAATCACTAAAGACTGATAAACCTTTTCAAGGTAAAAACACAATTAAAAGAAAGCTGGGTGTGGTGGCGCAAATCTATAAACCTGTAGGCTGAGGCAGGAGGACTGCGGCTGAGGTCAAGGCCAGCCCGAACTACACAGTGAGATGCTATCTCAAAACAAAACAAACAAACCCCTCCACGGCAGAGTAACTTTTAGGGATTTGTTCTCATCCATTTTTCAAGGGTGTGAAGTGTGGCTTTTTCCTGGTTTTCCCAGTGCTGGGATGGAGGCCAGCCCATCCCCCACCATGCATCACATAGCATTGGGGCCCTCACACCTGAGCTGCCCTCCCCCCCACTTCCTGATTTTCTGCTAGGGAAGAAAGGCAGCGACGGGGCACAGGCCCCAAACATGCACAGAGAGATGAGAAAGAGGACGAAGGCCTGCACCTGACTCAGGCCGGGCTGAGTCACCGGATTATCTTCTGGGATCTGTGAGTCTTCTGACTCAGCCTGCTGCCCCGACACCTGCTGCTGGGAGTCGCTGGCCCGAGCCTGCCAGGCCCATGTGCCAGGAAGCCCTGCTCCGCGGAGAATCTGCAGGGTCTCGCCCCTAGTGCTTCTGCTGCTTGGTTGCAGTCAATCTCCTAAGACTAACGTGGCATGCCATCCTGCCACTCTGGCCGTCTGTCCCTCTGTGCCAGACTGCCGAGGGGCCCACACATGCTGCCCTGCGAGCTGGGCAGCGAGCGCTGAGTGACAAGGGCATTCTGTTCTTCACAGAGCAGAAAACAAAGATGTCCCAGGAAGCCAGGCATGGTGGTGTACACCTGTAATCATAGCACTCTGGGAGGCTGAGGCAGGAGGATGCCAAGTTCCAGCCCAACCCGAACAATCTGGCAATTTAGCAAGGCCCTGTCTCAAAGTAAATGTAAACAAAGGACTGGGGATGTGGCTCAGTTATAAGGTCCAGGGTCCAATCTCAGGGGCCAGAAAAAAAGAGAAAGTCCCAGGTAGTGCTACAGCCTCGGACTCTTCCTCCCTCCCCTGGGGCCTAGTCCTGGGCACCTGACTCTTCGGCTGCAGCAAAGCCTGCACATTGTTCTGCCCACCCCATTTTCTGTGAGAGCCAGACCGGGTTTGGGAAACGCCGCTCCCAGGCTCCCATGCTCCTTCACAAAGACTCTCCCACCATGCTGGGCCTGGGCTGGCTGGGCTGGGTGGGGTCCAGGGAGGTCTCTGAGGAGGCTGTGAAGAGACCCTGGGGCTGAGGCCCAGAGAAAGGTGACTGGTCCAGGTGTGGCTTAACACTTTAATCTCACTGAGCTCTAGGGTGGATCTCACCCTGTTTGTTGATTGATTGATTGTGTGTGTGTGTGTGTGTGTGTGTGTGTGTGAGAGAGAGAGAGAGAGAGAGAGAGAGAGAGAGAGAGACAGCGTCTCACCACGGAATGCAGGCTGGCCTACAGCTCAGGGATCCTCCTGTCTCAGCCTCCCGATGCTGGGATTATAGGAGTGCGCCACCATGCCCAGCCGTTAGTTGGATTTTGTCTTTAAGAAAATGAATAGTAACTCCCCTTCACCCCACAAAGGGGCAAACTCCAGCTCTTTGGGAGGCTAAGACAGGAGGGTCACAACAACTTCAAGCCCATCTTGGGCAATTTAGGATACCCAACAGCCCCAGGCCCCATGCGAGAATCCTCCGCACTCCTTCCCTGCTGTGCCTCTCTGCTTCCTGTAGCAGGGTGCGGGGCTGCACAGGAAACGCTTCTATCTCCGGCTTGCAGGCCCCAGGCTGCAGGGTGCAGAGTCCGCCGCGCCGGTCTACGTGGCCCGGGCGCCCTAGGACTTATCTCGTCATATCGTGATATCGTCTTCCTGCCCAGGGCACCAGGCAGTGAATGCCAAAAGGAAAATAAAGTTTTGCGTGGCTGCAGGTGCTGGAGCCCGGTGAAGTGCTGTCAGTTTGCCCACCTTGTCCAGGACCTGCAGCGTAGTGCGCGTGGGCAAGCCGGAAAAGCCGCGGTCAGTAGTGGCCCAGGGGTGTGGTGCGCGTGCGCGGGTACCCGCTGGCCGGGTCGGTGGGGGGCGGCAAGGTGCCCATGCGCGTGCGCAGACTCGCCGCGGGGCTGCACGGGTCGCTAAGTGGGCGGTCAGGGCCAGGGCGGGAGGGAGCGGCACGAAGTCCCGGGGCGCGGGAGGGAGGGCAAGAGGGCGGGCAGGCACGCGCGGGGCGGGCGGCGGTCCCGGGCTCTGACGTTTACTGCCCGCGCCCCGCCCGCCCCTGTGTCCCGCTCGGGCCAGCCCCGCCGAGCCCCCGCCCCGCCCCCGCCTCCCGGCCGGAACCGATCGCAGCTGGTTTGAGCTGGTGCGTCTCCATGGCGACGCGCGAGGCATATAAGTAGCGGCGCGGCGCTGGCGGCTTTGTCAGTCGCCGCATCCGCCGCCGGCCGCCCTCAGCCAGCAGCTGGGCGCCACCTCGGGCCGGCGTCTCCGGCGGGCGCAGCGAGGCGGCGAGGGCGGCAGGCGGCCCAGCACCGCGGCCCAGCTTCGGCTCCGACCCGGGCTAGTGCTCGGCGCAGTCTCAGCCCGGTCCTGGCTCCGGCCCCGGCTCCGGCTACAGCGCTTCCATGGGGCCGGCCCGCGGCGCCCGGGCACTCTGAGCGAGGTGAGCGGGCGAGCTGGTGAGCGAGTGGGCGGGCGGGCGGCCACGTGTGCGGCCCGGAGGGTGACACGTGGTCCCTGGGCCTCGCCACCCCAGGAATCTCCTCGGGCGTGGGGTCGCCCCTCGCGGCCCACCGCGGCCTCGTCTCCTGGGGCCCCAGCAGCCTGTGCTGTTTTCGGTACTTATTTCAGCTGTGGGCACGGCAGTGACACCGATGGGCGAAGCTTGCCGGAATTGCTAGTCTCAGCCAGGAGGAACTGTGATGAGGGTGGCCGCCCTGGCGTGGCTAGAGTGTTTATTTAAAGGCTCTTTGAATGACTTAGTGATTTAAGAAAAAAAGCTTGCTTCTCCAAAGGAATTGAGTTTAGTTGCTCGTGCCTGTAATCCCAGCACTGGGGAGGCTGAGGCAGGAGGCTCACTACTAGTTCGAGGCTGACCTGGTCTACATAGCGAGGCTCTGTGTCGAATCCCCTATCTATTCCCCCGTTTAAAAAAAAAAAAAAAAAAAAAAAAAAAAGGAGAAAGGGAAGCCTGGCTTGCGAACCAGTGTGCACACAGGAGCTAGTTGTGACGGTTTACAGAAGAGGCTGGTGGTGGGGTTGCAGAACCCAAATGGTGGTGAAATTAGAGGCACCCAGGAATGTCTGGGGAAGACAAAGAATGTGTTGGCTTGCTTCATTGAGACCTAACATGGGCAGGATTCGGTTGACTCACAAGATTCTTTTAAGTTTTTGTTTAAATGACCTTCCAGCCTACCAGCTTGTGCTATTTACCTTAGAAACCAGACACTGCTTAGGTAAAATTTTTCATCAGTTGTTTAAGGTTCTAAAAAGGTGCAGAAAACCAAACTACTAGGTGGCATATTCTGAAGAAATGAAGCCTTCCGGGTTTAAGCTGCCTTTGATTCTGAGACGTTTAGCAGGACCAGTGTCTTACTGCCTGAGGCTTTTTATTAGGTGACTGAGAAAAGCTTTCCCTAGGGTGAATTAGGCAGCCTGAAGTCCGGGGTGCCTGAGACTCCCGGTGTAGCCAGTAGCTTGGGTTTGGATTTGTTGCTGGTCGCGATCGTCCCTTGTTATGGGTGCGGTGGCATCTGCCACAGCTGCAGCACCCCAGCGAGAGCAGGGCATACAGTGGGAGAGCCCCACATGCTAGGAATTGGGTTAAAATCAGTAACTTTAAGATAACTCACTCACGGGCCGGTGTCACATTTAGTGAAGGCCGAGGACAGGCTTTTATTACTGCCATGGTGTTCTTATTTTTCTTCTGGAGTAAGCTGAAGCCTCCCATATGGCGATCTGTCCCGCAGCCCAGCAGCTAGTGTCCCAGAGTCTGGCTCTTCTGGTTTAGGAGTGCCCAGTTGCAATTCAGTACCAGTATCTTGGTGAAGACTAGATAGAGAATCAGCTCTCCGGAACTCCCAGTAAACCGAGTATGCTGCTTAAGCAGGGAAAGTCCTGTGGAATTTAGTGGCCACAGGGTGTGGCAAGAGGTCACAGGCTGTGTGTGTGTGTGTGTGTGTGTGTGTGTGTTATCACTGCATTGCTGTGCAGGTGTCTGAGCAAGGACAATGCAGAAACAAAGCTGACAGAGCTCCTGTCCCTTGGGAGGCTTAGGCAGGAGGACTTGAAAGTCCCACATGGAGCTCTGAGTGAGGGTCCCTGCCCAGTCCCTGTTATCTGAAAACAGTGAAAAACCTTTGTCCTGCCAGTGAGCTGAGTGTGGGGGAAACACGCCTCCCCTCCAGTCTGTTTGGGACACCCATATTTGAACTACTTGTTTGGAAATGTGCTATATCTTTCGTGGAATTGAGACCCCCTGCCATCATCCATCAGCTTGGACGCCTGGTCCCTAGTTGCCCTGGTCGCCCTGCTTCCTGCCTGCTGGTGCCCTGCAACAGAAGGCAGACTCTCAGCTTCTCTTCTCAGAACATTTCCACTGCTGCTCCGAGGAGATTGGCCTTGTGAGGAGCTGGCAGGGTCTCTCTACTTCCACGTTCCTCTAATACCACGCTTCAGTTTCCCATGTGAGTGTGGGGCCTCTGCGGATGGGGTGGGCCCTGCTGTTAGGCTTCAGCCTGGGAGTAAGTTTCCCTCCCCGCCCGCAGCCCACTGCCTTCCTAGGCTTGGAGAAACCATGAACAGCGCCCGCAGCGAGGAGTTCGACTGCTGCTTCCTGGACGAAGGCTTCACGGCCAAGGACATCCTGGACCAGAAGATCAACGAGGTCTCCTCCTCAGTGAGTGAGACTTGTGAGACCTGCAGGGCCTGTGGGGCCAGGGCTAGGGCCGGGCTGTCACTAGCGGTGCTCATTGGTGACATCGGTGGGGGACCCTGAGGGGATGACAGTGGATGCATGTTGCAGAGCTGCCCTTGTACCTGAACCCCACCTTGTTTTAGGATGACAAGGACGCCTTCTATGTCGCAGACCTTGGGGATGTTCTCAAGAAGCATCTACGCTGGCGGAAAGCACTCCCTCGAGTCACCCCCTTCTATGCAGTCAAGTGCAATGATAGCAGAGCCATAGTGAAGACCCTCGCTGCCATCGGGACAGGATTTGACTGTGCAAGCAAGGTGCAGAGAGCGGATGGGAGATGCCACAGGGAGGTGGTGCTGGCGGCTCCCGTGTGCTGCCCACCGTGCAGACAGCGTGACCCTGTCTCTGCCTTCTCAGACGGAGATCCAGCTGGTGCAGAGTCTCGGGGTGCCCCCAGAGAGAATCATCTACGCCAACCCCTGCAAGCAGGTATCGCAGATCAAGTATGCAGCCAGCAGCGGTGTCCAGATGATGACCTTCGACAGTGAAGTCGAGCTGCTGAAAGTGGCCCGGGCACATCCAAAGGCCAAGTAAGTGGCTGTCCTTGGCAGAGGGCTTCTCATCAGACTGGGTGGAATCCCGGTTTCTGGAAAGTACAGGGTGCCCTACCCGGTGGCAGGTTATTATAATAGAGCCCCTAGGCTCAGGCCACGCTTTGCTTAGGGAGCTCCATTTGACTGTGGTTTTGAGAGGGCTTCTGGCCAGAGGTGTGCACCACACTTCTCTCTCTCAGGTTGGTCTTACGGATCGCCACTGATGACTCCAAAGCTGTCTGCCGCCTCAGTGTGAAATTCGGTGCCACCCTTAAAACCAGCAGACTCCTTTTGGAACGGGCAAAAGAGCTCAACATTGATGTTATCGGCGTCAGGTGAGGTCTTGGGGGTCCAGGGTGCGGCTGAGACACCAGGTGGTGCTGGGGCTACAGGCTTTTCCCACACCATTGCCAGAGGTAAGAGACTGACCACCCCCCTCTGCCCGTAGTTTCCACGTGGGGAGTGGCTGCACTGACCCTGAGACCTTCGTGCAGGCTGTGTCAGACGCACGATGCGTCTTTGACATGGGGGTGAGTGTGACCGCGGGGTATGCCATAGGTGGGGGAGGGTTGGGGTGCTGATCGAGGGTAGCCCCAGCCCCAGACAGAGGCCCTTGCAGCTGCGGTTCCCCAAGCACCAACCTGACCCCCATGCTCTGCCTACAGGCCGAGGTCGGCTTCCACATGCATCTGCTTGACATTGGTGGGGGCTTCCCGGGATCTGAGGACACAAAGCTCAAGTTCGAAGAGGTGATTTGCAGCAAAACTTGGGGTTACAATGGGTACTGTAGCATGTCCTGGTTTAAACATTTTTTTGTTCCAATGTAATAGAATTGGATAAGAAAATACGAAAGCACTTCTAAGAAAACATGAAACAAGGTTTTATAACAAAGTAATGGGAGAATAGCAGTTACTGTACTGTGTATCCTGACCTTAAAGAATGACCAACATGTAGAGTTCTAGATAGAAAAGTTTCTTTTGTAGGAGAAACAAAAGGACAGAAATTTATTTCAGTGAACAAAGGAGACTAGGAATACTAGAGAAATAAATTAGCATTTGCTTTTAAAATATCTTAGAACAACAGCACAGATACTTTGGGGGTTGCTGGGACCTTCTCTGCTTTCTGTTTCTTCCTCTTTCCTCTTGGGGAGGAGTCCAAGCTTAGTGTTTGCAGGAGTGAAAGGGGCTGACCCATCCAGGGACTGTGTGCCTCTTGCCCCGCAGTCTGCCAGGTAATTCCCAGCAAAGAGTTGCTGCTCCAGGTTACAGAGGGAGCCCGGCCTCTGCCCATACTCAGTGTGCCCTGCTGGACCTGGTACTTGTGCCATAGGAAGCTAAGCCTTTATCTGGTGTTTAGATTAATTCTTTTACGGTGACACACACCTGTCATCCCAATATTTAGGAGGCTGAGGCAGGAGAATCACTGTGAACTTGAGGCTGGCCTGGGCTACATAGGGCAACGTGCATATTCTCATGCAGAAAAGAAAAAAATGATGTGAAGAAGGTGGAGGGAGGGTGTCTTACTTGATGGCATGCTTTTTGCTGCATTCCTTGTCACGTGTTGGTGCTACTTGATGAAATCCTAACTCCCGACCCCTTAAAAGGATGGTGCAGGTGGCAGCCATAGGCTTTTGTTTTTGTGCTTCTGTGCCTGATGGCGGCTGCCCCCTGCCCATCCCTCATGAGGCCCTGGGTGTCCCCCTGCGTGGGTGCCATCAGTAGCTGTTCTGCTCCTCTGCAGATCACCAGTGTGATCAACCCTGCCCTGGACAAGTACTTCCCGGTGGACTCGGGTGTGCGCATCATAGCCGAGCCCGGCAGGTACTACGTGGCATCGGCCTTCACCCTGGCAGTGAACATCATTGCCAAGAAGCTGGTGCTGAGGGAGCAGGCCGGCTCCGACGGTGAGTGGGGCGCACAGGGCTGGGCCAGCTCCCGGGGCATGTGTGCCCAGGCGGTGCTGAGCAGCTCTGTCCCTCAGATGAGGAGGATGCGAGCGAGCAGACCTTCATGTATTACGTGAACGACGGGGTCTATGGCTCCTTCAACTGCATCCTCTACGACCATGCGCACGTGAAGCCGCTGCTGCAGAAGGTGGGTGGGTGCTGCTGGGGTGGATGGGCGTGAGGCTCAGGCCTCCCCGGCAAAGGCACCAATGCCTCCCTCCATGCGCAGAGGCCCAAGCCCGATGAGAGGCACTACCCGTCCAGCATCTGGGGGCCCACATGTGACGGCCTGGACCGCATCGTGGAGCGCTGCGCCCTGCCCGAGCTGCACGTGGGTGACTGGCTGCTCTTTGAGAACATGGGCGCCTACACTGTTGCTGCAGCCTCAACTTTCAATGGCTTCCAGAGGCCCACCATCCACTACGTGATGTCGCAGCCCATGTGGTGAGCGCGTGTGTGCGTGCATGCATGCATGCGTGTGTCGCTTAGGGCAGGAAGGAGTGCCAGGCACGCATGGGGCTGCCAGGAAACCCAGCTTCCTGGGAGGCTGAGACAGGAGGGTCACAAGTCCAGCTTGCACAACTTAGCAAGACCCTGTCTCAGCAGGCCTGGGTGTAACTCGGTGATGGGACATTTGCCTGGCACGAGCAAGGCTGGTGTGGCCAGTGTGGCCTGCCCTCTCCAGGAGAGGCTGCCACCGCGTGGGGTTGTGCTGCTCCTCCGGCCCAGGGAAGCACAGATGACACAGGTCCCTCCCCCACTGCTGACCCTGGCAGGTCCTCCTCACTTGCACACAGCGCCCCCTCCCCCTGACTGCTGGGAAGGGGCTGAGGTGGTGCTTGCTGAAGTGCTCTCCCTGCGTCCTGTGGCTGAACCCCATTTTGTTTCCCAGGCAGCTCGTGCAGCGGCTCCGGAACACCAGCTTCCCGCCCGGGGTGGAGGAGCAGGATGTCGGGGCGCTGCCTGTGCCCTGTGCCTGGGAGAGCGAGATGAAGGGGCACACGGCCGCACGCACCTCTGCCAGCATCAACGCGTAGCTGCCGTGGGCTGCGGGCAGCTTCCATCTCAGTGGCTATGGGAGAGGCCTGCGCGGGCAGCCGCATGCAGACAGCAGACGGGTCACGAGCATCTGGGTTCCTATGGAAACCATTTGAATATTTGTTTTATATGGATTTTTATTCGCTTTCACACATTGCAGAAGAGGGCCCAAAGCTGCTGCACAAGCATTTGTAGCTTGTGCCTCAGCATCGGGGCCGAGAGCTCAGTGTGGCCTGTTTTAAAAATAAAGTGTCTGGAAAGCCTTTCGAGTCGGAGGTGTCTGTAGCGGTGCCAAGGGGGCCACCCTGCTCCCTGCATCCACTCTGCATCTGTGGGGCCCTATGGGCCCTGCACCCCTCTGAGGGAGGGGCTGCAGCCTCAGCTCCCATCCCAAGGGAGTCACAGGGCATCCTCCACAGCATGTGGCAGTCCCCTGACAGCTGGGTGTTGGCAGTGGCCATACTGGAGATCTGTACCTTCCAGTGCAGCCTGGGGTGACCTCCCTGCTGGTCCCTGCCAGGTCCTGCACCAGAAGCCAAAACAAAAAGCCCGGTGTGTACCACACCCTGCCTGCTAGCCTCACGCTGCTTCCCTCCCATTAGGGGTCCTCAGAGGAGTTGCTATGGCAGGCAGCAGAGGTCCAGCCCTTGGTGCCCTCTGGCCACGTGTCACATCCAGCTGGTGTCCCTGGGCAGCAGGGCAGGCTGAGATAAGCACTGTTGTGCAGATGGTTGGGCCACCTGGAGACAATTTATTGCCTACCCCTGGGCAGCTGCCCAACAACTGAGGGCAGAACTGGAGCTGGGGGGGGGGGTGCAGTAGGAGGGCCTCGTGTGAGGGCTGGCTCTGGGCACAGACCTGGTGGCAGGAATGCCACCCCAGTGCCCCGCTCAGGGCTCAGCTCTACACCTCAGGCAGAGTGCCGGCTCTCCCGCCCACTCACTAAAGCCTGTGACCCCCCACTTTTGAGAGCCAGCTGGGCGCAGCCCTAGCAGCCTTCCCTCAGCTCAGGTGGGAGCATGGGAGGACAGATTAGCTTGGCCAGGTTGGCCTTGCAGTATACCTGTCAGTCCGGCTACTCCATCTGCCCCCGGGACCACGCAGGCCCAGTCCGTTTCACTGTGGTGCCCAGGTTTAGGGCCCTAGACCTAGGAGTTTCCTGTGGTTTCGCGGAAGCTCCCGGCTGTGTGGCCTACTGTACCTCAGGCTGTCATGATGGTCTCACTGGACAGAGAGCAGCCAGGCAGAACTGAGATCCTGACCCATGAGACCCAGGGACGCCACACTGGCCCTCCCAGATGTGGCCACTAGGGGGCAGCAGTGCCTTGAGCAGAAAGTGCAGGCCAGGGTGCCTTGAGCAGTGCCAGGCCACACTGCAGGTGCCCCTGTGCCCACGGCTCGGCACAGAGTACATGAGGGCATTAATGGGCACACAGTTGATCCCGATGGAGAAGGCGGGCTGGGCCCATTGTGCACCACAGCCCATGGTGCTGTCATCTGTTTGCATGTCCACCTGTCCTTCCTGTTTATCTTCTGCCTGCCCCTCTGCAGGCATGTAGATGAGCAGCTGGACCAGGGCTTCCTGGGGTCCAGGCTGTATGCAGCTTCGCTTGGTGTCCATCCCTTCTGTCTCCCGCCCACTGCCCCCAGGCCCCATCCCCACCCGGCAGCATGGCTGAAGGCCCTGTCCCTCCTTTGTGGCAGGTCATGTTTACCTGGCCTCACCTGAGGCCCAATGACTGAGGGTGTGGGTGCATCACCAGGAAGTGGCCACAGGTCCCAAGACTCCACTAGCAGACTGGGCACAAAGGCTCTACCAGTGTCATCACACGTCTATTCCCTGACCTGGAGCCCTCACGGTCACCAAGGGGGGCCACTAGGATGCAGGAAGCTGGGGAGCAGTGACAGATGCTGCAGGGGCCTGTCTTTGGGGACCCCTGCCAGCTGGGGCCAGTCATGGCCATCATGTCCTTGCTGGGGGGTCCAGACTAGGTCGGGCTGGGACCCCAGGGGACATGTTTGGTGGCAAAGGCTATCTGCAGGGGAGATGGTGAGATGCTCCCTCCCTCAGCAGTGAGGCCGTGCAGAGGCTGCGCCCTTGGCTACATGACACTCAGGACTCGCTTATTGGATCATTTAATACCGGAAATGCCAGACCAATTGACAGGAAGGACGATCACACAACTGCCTCTGGCCAGCATGCATCGTGAGACAGCAACACCACAGACGGCCACAGGCCACAGGACCATGCTGCACAGCGCCGGGGGCTTTAAATAGGGACCTGCGTCCCACCCCACAGCAGCATACACATAACTTAGGTACGGAAAGAAGGACCACAGGTGTCACGAGCAAGCAGCTTTGGTCACACATGGACGCGGGGCGGGCCATGCTCAGAGGGAGGGCTTGCCTGTCCACACTCAGTGAAATCACCCATTATGGCGGCCTCAATGCACTCCCAGAAGTCCTGCCCAGAGCCCGGAGCCAGCAGCTCTGCCCTGCACAGGGCCCCATCCCTAGGCGTCGCCATGGAGGGACCAGGCCAGGTGGGAGGGGGCCTCACGCTGGTCAGATGGAGGGGGAGGCACAGCCACGGGGGCAGGGGCTGTGAGTCACCAGGCAAGGCTGGGCCAGCCGGAGTGGGGACGGCAGGAGGGCAGGCGAGGCGTCCGCTTTCACAAGCAAAGCTGAGGGTGCAGTGTCCGTCCCGAGCTCAGAACTGGCTGGCGCTGCTGGGGTCGCACTGCAGCAGCCGCACGATGGAGGGGTCGCTCTTGGCACCTTTGATGAACTCTTCCAGGGACAGCTTGCCTGCAGGGCGGAGACAGGGACAGGGGATCAGCAGTGCTCTCAGGTCTCTGCTTCTGGAGGGGATGGGAGCGCTCACATCTGTCGTCCCAGCACTCAGGAGGCTGAGGCAGGAGGGCGACCCGAGTTCAAGGCCAGCCTCAACCACCAAGTGAGACCCTGTCTCCAAAAACGAAACAAGAAGGGGCCTTGCGGAGGTCAGGGTCAATGCCTTGAGTTTTCCAGTTTCCACTCACTTCTAGCGCACTCAGGAGAGACAACAAAAAGGTAAAACAAAACAGAGCCCAAACAACCCTGCCAGCTCTGGCTGCTCTCTGCAGAGCACCGGCAATTCCAAGTTCCTTCTCAGCAATGCAGCGGAGCCTAGTTGATGAGGAAAATCTGGGGAGAAATCACCCCACGCTTAACAAACCTATGAAGCTGGGCATGGTAATCTCAGTGTGCTTGTAATCTCAGTGTGCAGGGAGGCTGAGGCAGGAGGATTGCAATTTTGAGTTCAGCCTGGGCAACTCAGTGATTTAGGGAGACGCTGTCTAATAAGAACAAAGGCTGGGGACAGCCCTGTGGTACAGCAGCCCTGGGCTCTTTTTCCAGAACCAACCAACAAAGAGCAAGGAGCAGAGCGGGAGAATGGGCTGGGGTCTTCCCTGAGTGTCACTTCAGTTTAATGACACCAGCGACAAGGTTCCCACGACCCTTCCATGTAGTTCAGATGGGGCTCAAACTCAGGATCCTCCTGCCTCCGCCTCCCGAGTAAGATTACATGTATGCATCACCACACTTGGCTTCACGGCTGGTTTCTTACTTTTTTCCCCCTGGAGTACAAGGAATTCAATAATCTGGGGCCTCTGTGCTGAGTTACAGCCTTAAGTGTGTTTTTATTTATTTTGAGACAGTCTTTCTAAGTGTCTAAATTGCTTTAATTTGTGATCCTCCTGCCTCAGCCTCCCAGGGTGCTGGGCTCCCAGGCCTGTGGTGCCACCCTGGGCCGTAAGACGAGCTCAATCTCCCTTGCTATTGGAGTGGCCTTTGGCTGTCTGCAGTTAGCCGGAAGCCCTGCTCTCCACTCAGGGCTCTGCCTCACCCCCACTTAACCCACTCGAGACATCATGAGCATTTCCTTGCACGTTAGTTTATTCTGCATCTCAGCACGGTCCAGGGAGCATTTTCCTTTCCTCCCTTCTGGTCTTCCTTCCTTTTAAAATATGTTTTTGTTTGTGTTTTTGAGGTAGGATCTTACTATGTAGCCCAGGATAGCTTCCAACTTTTAATTTTCCTGCCTCAGCCTCCCAAATGCTGCAATTATAGACGTGCACCGCCCCCATGCCCAGTGATGAGCCCAGACCTTCTGCATGGTGGCCATGGTCACCAGGCAAACAAGGTGGCCACATCCATCCTGACAGGGTCCCCAGACTCCCAGGGTGGAGACAAAAGGGGCTCAGGCAATTCCCAGGACCCCCAGGCTCAGTGCTTTGCAGCTTGGGGGCCCCCTGCAGCCAACTCTGCCCTTAGTGCACCCTCGGGATCACGAGCAGCCTGTGACAGAAAGGAGCCACCAGGCCCCCCACTCTACCATCGTTGTTGGTGTCCATCTGTCTGAAGATCTTGTCCGTCCGCTTTTCCGGGGTGGACTCATCCTCTGGCATCTTCATCACAGACGACACCATCTTGTAGATGGCCTGCAAGATTCGTGTGACAGGGCACTCAGGGGACGCGTGGGGCAACAGAGGGGCAAGGGGCAATGGCTCACTGCGGGGGCTCCTGCTAGCTCGGCCCCCGACCCCTGTGTGTCAGGCTGGCATGGTGTGCTGCTCGGGTCCTAGGGGGCCTGGACCGAGCCCCTGACACCCGTGAGAGGGAACACTTGGCAGGCAGCGTGCCAAGCTCAGGGGCTAAGAAGCCCAGACTGCAAGTCACCTCCCAGGGCACAAGGGCAGAAGCTGCCTGATGCCTTCACCCAGGGCTTAGCCAAGGATCTACACACTGCCCCCACCCCCAGCCCTCTGCTTTGCTTTTTGTTTGTTGTTTGAGACCGGATCTCGATGTATTTCAGGCTGGTCTTGGGCTTGCAGTGCTCCTCCTGCCTCAGCCTCCTGAGTGCTGGAATTACAGGTAGGTACCACCATGGCCTGCATTTCTTGCTTTTTGGTGGTCCTGGGGGACTAAACCTGGGCATCGGCACTAAGCCACATCCCTAGCCCTTTTTATTTTTTATCTTGAGGCAGGGCCTTGCTAAATCACTCAGTTGCCTAGGCTGGACTGGACTTGAGATCCTTCTGCTTTGGCCTCCCAGAGTGCTGGGAGGACAGGCAAGCGCCATCATACCTGGCCTGACGATGGCTCTCAGCAGTGCCCCCCCCCCGCCCCACCCAGGCGTGCCCAGCCCACCTGCACGATCTCCAGCATCTCACTGCGGCTGATGTAGCCGTTGCCGTCCAGGTCGTACATGCTGAAGGCCCACTTGAGCTTCTGCTCCAGCTTTCCCCGTGACGTCACACTCAACGCGATGATGAACTCCCGGAAGTCAATGGTGCCGTCGCCGTTGGTGTCGAAGGTGCGGAAGACATGCTCGGCGAACTTGGAGGCGTCGCCGTAAGGGAAGAAGTTGGCATAGATCTTCTTGAACTCATCCACAGTCAGGTGGCCAGTGGGGCAGTCCTTGAGGAAGCCCTTGTACCACTCCTGCAGCTCGTGGTCAGTGAACTCCGTGTTCTCACGCAGGTCCTGCAGCACCTCGGGCCGAAGCTTGCTGTTCTGCTTGCCCATGGTGGCCAGAAACTGCCCCTGTAAGACACGCTCAGCTGAGGACACGGCATGGCCCAGCAATGTCCCAAGTGTCCTGTGCCACAGGCTACAGGGTCCCAAGGGAGTCCGCTGTGACAGTCAGATTGGCCTTGAACCTGCGGCAATCCTCCTGCCTCAGCCTCCTGAGTGCTGGGATTATGGGTATGCACCTGCACAATGGATCTACCCAGAGCCCTGTCTAGCCCCTCCCCACTTCCCCACTCTACTCTCTGATCTGCCCTGGAACTTGGGGTGACAGCACCCACTGATATGCTCTGGAAGGCTTGGAAACATCCTGGGTCTTTTTGGCAGCATTGGGGACTGAACCCAGGGCTTTTGCACTGAGCGCCCCCTTGGCCCTTTACTTTTGGAGACTGAATTTTGCTAAGTTGCTAAACTATCTGGGCTAGGCTTGAACTGAAGACCCTTCTTCCTCAGCCTTCCAGAGTGCTAGGGTCATAGACCTGTGTCGCAGAAACTCAATTACAAGAGAAAAATAACTGAAGCCACGGTGGGGTCACAATGGCTGAGGCCAGAGTGTGTGACATTTAACCACACAATTGGCATGGGATATGCCAAGGGGATGACACAGCTCGCTCCAGAGTGTGTCTGGTGGTCATGGAGGAGTGACTTTGAGGTCCATATCTGGTTCCTCCCTTTCCTCTCTTGTCTGTTCCCCTGCCCTGCTGCCCTGCTCCCCTAAGCCCTTCTGCCAGGATGATCCTGCCTTGGGGCAGCGGACCATGGACTGACTCCCCTGAAACCCTGAGCCGGATCGAACCTCTCCTCCCTTATGGGGCAGGAGTTGCATATCTCATCTCAGCCACTAGAGACCTGACTACACCAGGCACGGCTGCTCCAGAGAACCCAAATTAACAGAGCAGGACACGCTGTCCTCAAAACTGTCCAAGATGCAGGCAGGGGCTGCTGCCCAAGGAAAGCACAGGGAGGCCTGCTTAGTGGTCCACGCCTGCCACCCGCAGGCTGCAAGCTACTCGGCCACTCACCAAGACCTTGGCTCAGGATAAAAATAAGGAGTATTGAAAATAAACAAAGGCGTCCATGAATAGCAGCGGAAGCTGCTGGCCTCACATGAGCCCTCCCGGAAGCCCGCAGGCCCGAAGCCGGAAGAGAGCTGTGCGTTGTGGTGTGGGGACAGTGGGTTGTTAACAAAGCTGTCCAGGAAGGTAGGCAACGAGAGCACCTCCATGCAGAGCCAGCGCCCCGTGCGTCTGGGCCACCTGACCTGGTGGCATCATGACAGCACAGACTCAGGAGCAGAGCTCGGCTCCTGCCTCCCACCGGGGCGCAGGGCAGTGGAGGGCACAGGCCAGGTGGGAGGGACACACACTGAGCGGGCGACACCTGCACTCTGCTAAGGGCAACAGAAGGGTCCCTGTCACTGCTCTTAACGCACTAAGCTGGAGAGGAAAAGTAGTTCCGGAGGTGGGGAGCCCTTGGTAAATATTTAATACAAAGCTGGCATGACTCCTGGGGCCCTGGGGCCCCAGCAGGCCAAGGTCCCCTGAACCACAGCTTAGTGCTGAAGGTTCAGCCCTCATTCCACCCTTGTGCTCCCAAGTAACGCCCCCATCAGGCTGCACGTAGTGGCAGGCATCTGCCAGTCCCGAAGGCTGGAGGCTGAGGCAGGAGGATCTGAGGAAGGGCCAGGGCCCAGGAAGAGCTGGGGTGGCTAGTGAGCCATGACCGTCCAGCTGTTTCCACCTGGTGTGGGGCAGACCCGAAGGCAGAGGTGGGAAACAGGTGGGTCTGTGCTTTCCTACCCGGCCCCAGCTCCTTCTCCCAGTGACCCACAGACATACCCTCCCCTCACTGCAATCCTCCTGCCTCAGCTTCCTGAGTGCTGGAATGACAGGAGGGCATCACCAGGCCCAGCTCTGATGACATTTTAAAAACAACTCAGGTGTCCTTTTTCCTGTCCAGTCAAGCCTCTCTTCCAGGCAGCTGGGCAGTCCTGGACAGGTGGGTCCAGAGGAACAGGTCGATGTTGCCACCAGATGGACCTGGCGCCAGGCTGCAGTGCACCCTGGGCGACACTAGAGGGCGCAGGCGGGCAGCTCCCGGGTCTGAGCTGAGGCCCTGCCCCTGGCCACACCCCCCACCCCGCTCTCCGCCGGCGGGGGGGCGCCTCAGTTTCTTTTTCAGACCTGCTCCCCCCTACCACCGCCACCCCTGCCACAAGTGGCTGTCAACCACTTAATATGTGGCCAGTCTGGACCCACAGGGACCAGACCCTCTGTAAATACTGGATTTTGATGCTTTTGTTTTGGGGGGCAGATCTCGGGCAGGCTGAGGCAGGAGGTTTTACCAACTCTGGGGATTTTGTAATCCAGACAAACTGTGCACTTGATGGTTGCAGAACTGCACAGAGCAATACAGAGGAGCACGAGACAGGAAGAGATAAACAGAAGCAGGCCAAGGGGAGAAGAGCCAGAGGGAAGAAAAGATCCCATGCAACCCTGGGAATTCAGACTTAGAACTACAAGGGCAGCCCAGACAGGTAAACCCCTGAAGTGATGCAGAGGCCTGGCGTCCATGGGCATTGGTGACAACAGATTGGACCCTGTCGCCCACAGGGCTGTCACTGCCAGCTGGAGCTGGGCTCAGAGGTGGGGTGATGGGCTTCATGGCCCCCTGGAGCGCTTTTTCTCCTTGCTATGAAATCTAGGTGGGGACGGCACAGTTCCAGAGGTGCCATGTGGGTCCCTGAGAGATGCTCTGCCAGGACTGAACTCCGCAGGTCCGCTGCTCAGCCCTTTCCCCAGGCAAGGGGAGAAAGCGCTGTTTCTGCTGGACCCTGCGGGGGCGATGACTCACGGGCCTCCCAAGTGTTTCCAGAGTTTCGACTCATGTGCCCCGAGTGAGTGAGGTTTGGCCACACTGTAAGCTGCCTTTGAGAGGCCACATCATTGTGAAGTTGACACTTCAGAGGTGTCCTTGAGCTGGATGTGGTAGTGTGCACACCTGTCATCCGCCAACGTGGAAGGCTGAGGCAGGAGGATGGCAAATTTGAGTCCAGCCTGGGTTACCTGGTGACTTAGTGAGATCCTGTCTCAAAATAAAAAATACAAGGGGTAGGAGACGGAGCTTAGTGCAAAGGCTCTGGGTCCAGTCCTAAGGGCGGAAAGGAGACGCAACATGCCGCTGCTGTTCTCCAGTGAAAGCACTGCACTTCTTTTTAACCTGGAGGCCTCCAGGGCTGCGGGCTTTGCATCACACCTAAAGTCTGGGAAAAAGAAAAGCAGCAAGACCTGGAGACAAGGTGGCCCTCGGTGGGCTCGCAGCTGTCACTCCAGCTTTGCTAGAGGACGTGTTTATAGTTAGGAGTGAGGTCAGCGTGACAAGCTGTCCTTCGCCACCTCTGTGCCTTAAGTGAACCCAGGAAGCCATGGAGTCTTCGGGGCATGCCACGCCGGGGGTGTGGCTTATGTCCACTCAGTAAGCATTAATTAAGCAGCTACTGGGTGATGCCTCGGAGCTCAGAGTGGAGACAGAGGCTGCAGGAGGCTCCAGCAGCACGCACGCTCTGGTCCCAAGGCAAGGCCTGAGTCCTGCTCTTTTCTGATTTTGTTTTTTGCAATACCGGGGATGGAACCCAGGGCCTCCACACGGAGCTACAGCCCATCTGTTTTTATTTTTTATTTTGAGACAAGGGTCACTAAGCTGCCCAGGCTGGACTCAAACTTTGATCCTCCCACCTCAGCCTCACAGAGTGCTGCAGTGACAGGCATGGGGCCCAGCTCTGTGCCCTTCTTGCCTTTTCCTATAGACTCAGCTCCTCCTCTGCCAGGGTCTGCTTCTGGGTGCTGGGCACTGGGGGTGCATGGAACGGGCAGCAACTCCTCAGTGAAGCTACTGACACCCTCCTCCTAGCCCCGGTCCCCACAGTCGCCGACTTCCCAGGGCACGGAGGGGAGAATCCAGCCCGGACAGCACACACCGGAAACAGGAAGTGCGGCGAGAGGAAGCCAGCAGGGAGGGAGAAGGCGGGCTCCTGAACACCCCCAAAGCGCGGGATGGGCGTGTGTTTGTCACCCATCTCCTGGGTGCCCGACGGTTACTTCTAGGCTCCACACTGGCACCAGCGTCTGGCGAGGACCCCGGCAGAGATAAAGGAGAGAAAAGTGAGCTCCAGGCTGCCCAGGAGCCCTGGCTGTAGCCAGGTACGCTGGGGCCTCTGGGAGGAAGGCAAGGATTGGTGCCAAGAGGCCGGCTGGAGGCAGCGGCCTGGGCACCTGAGGGTCTGGGAGTAGCATGGCCCGGTCACCGGCTCTGCAAAAGGTCCTGGCTGTATACCCCCTGGGGCTCCAAGGGAAGCTGCCCAGCATCTGAGCTGTTCCCCTGCCTCCTGTGTCCCCTCCAGATAGGAGGGGCCCAGGCCAGTGCAGCAGGTGCTCTGAGAGGCCGGCAGGCAGGAAGCCCCTGCTGGGCACTTATGGACCCCTAGAGGGGTCAGGACAGGGTCCAGCCCTGTACTGAGTCTATGGTGCATAACAGGTGTGATTGAGACATAAGACAAATGTTTCAGCTAAAAAAAGTTATCACAGCAGAAGACACATCGCCATAAACTGCCCATCCTCCCCTGGCTTCCAGCACACGCATCCCTGTCCTGGCTCATTCCTGCAGCAGCTCTGGAGTCCTCTTTCCTGGGGGGTCTTCAGCTGCGCTCTCCTGGCTGCCTTATGTCCTGGATGGATTCAAAACGTCTCCCTTTCATGGCCACTTTGACTGTGGGAAAAGCCAGAAGTCACACAGGGCCAGGTCTGGTGATTCGGGTAGAGTCGTGTCTTTACGAGCTGCCATTCTGTAGGATGGTGCTCAGCGGCAGCAGTCACTGTGCTTTTGATCACATCTCATAGACACAGCAAAGAGGACTCCAGAGCTGCTGCAGGAAGTGGCACGGATGGTGGACTGAGTGTGTGCAAAGCCAGAGAAGGACTTTGAGGGGATTCTTTCTAATGTGTCTTTTGCTGTAATAGGTTTTTAAAAGTTGAGCACTCACCATATTTGGATCACACCTTACACACGCATGTCCCCGTGTGCATATATATGTGTTGCGTGTGCGTGTGCTAAGGCCAGTGGGAGATGCTCACAGGAAGTGATATTGCAAAGTCATCCTAGAGTGCCCAAAAAATAGGTCTTGGCTTGGGGAGGACTCTCGCTCCCAGGCGCAGGAGGCCGAGGCCAGCTTGGGGTGTGTGAGCTTGCCTGGGGCTGGAGCCTGGCCTGATACAGGGTGACAGCCAGACCCTAGCTGGGGGTGGGGTGAGTCCTGGTCACACCCCCGAGGAGCCCTGGCTAGCTAACCTCTCAGCCCAACACCTTCTGGAAGAGCCAAGGCCCCACCTAATCTCCAGCAGCTAGGAGATCCCCTAACCTGATAAACTGGGCCCACAATGCTTGTCTATCTTCTCATCCCCTCCAGCCACACTGGCCCTTGGCTGCTGTCATTGCTGCATTTCTGCCCCAGGCCCTCTGCACAGGCTGTTCCTCAGATAGATGGTAATGGTTGATACATTGTGTCAACTTGAGAATTGAAAAGTTACAAACTTAACTACGTGACTCAGCAGGGGACCAGGGTACTCACTCTGTCAGCCTCTGGAGCTTATGGAAGAGGAGGGCACAGGGATGCTGTGGGTGGATAGCCTACACACAATATAAGGGGCGAGAATAGGCTTGCTCCCCCGCTTTTTGCTCTTGCTGCTTTTGCTGTCTTGTGCCACCTTGAACTGTTGCCCCTGTACCAAGCCACTGCCTCGGGGTCAACTGGTTATGGACTGAAGCCTCCACAAACTGTGGACTAAATAAACCTTTCCTTTCTTAATTCTGGGTGTCAAGTATTTTGTCTCTGCAATGAGAAACGTGGGAGACAACTCCAGTGCTCCCCTTGAATCCAAAACAATTACTGTGACTTTGAGTATTTGGAGACTCATTTCCTTATACTGATGTGTAAAAAGGTGGCTAGGGTATTTCCTTCTCTTCAATTAGCTCTGAGCATGGCAAACAAGGCTAGCCCAGGTGCTAATGTGCAGCATCACAGATGTGAGAGACTACTCCAGTGACTCCCTTTGGATCCAGAACAATTGCTGTGACTTTGATTACTGGGGGACTCATTTCCTTATACTGATATGTGAAAGGCTGGCTAGGATATTTTTTTTCTCTCTCCAGTTGGCTCTAAGCATTGCAAATAAGGCTAGCTGAGGTGTTAGTGTGCAAAGTCTAGCCATCAGACAGTCCTGTTTCCTCGCATGGTGCTCTCCACAGTACAGGATTGAGCTGGCGAGATGCAGAGGAATTTGCTCCGGTAATGTCAACTGGGTAGGAGCCTCAAGATAAGAGGCTGTGACTCTCCAGGGCACAACAGTTTGCATATCCAAAACCGAAGCAGTAGCCCACCAAAACAATTCTACTGCTACCTTAATCAGGTTATGTAAATTGATCCTTCTGCATGTCTTTATCTCTGCAAATTACAGAGATGCCTTCCTTGCACCTGGCCAGCCAGCCCAAGTTATTCAGTAATCCCAACATCCTGACTGTCACTCATCCCTGAGCAACCTCTCCCTTTCTTCACAAGACAATAAATGCTGGGAGACTAGGATCGAGGCCTTTGTCCACATGTCCTCATGGGAAATGGACTGGCAGTGGGCCTTGGCATCATCCATGTGGTGCTGGTTTTAGGTGCATGCAGAGTGCGAGAGCTGTGAAGTCAAGAAGGTTTCCACCTCAATTTTAGAAGGCCTGCGAGGCCGGACAGTGTGTCTGAGAGGGCAGTGTGTGAAGCTGTGGGTGTGAAGCCCAAGGTGCAGTGGAGATGCCAGGAGTCTGGAGAAGCCAAGGACATGGATCGTCTAAGGAAAGCTGCGAGGAGGGAGCGAAGTGGGCCTGAGCGAGAAGCTTCGGGAGCTGCAGCCACTGGAAGTGCCATCCAAGCCCTTTGGAGCTCTTGATTTGCCAGATGGCTTCACATGCTGGATGTGGAACTGCAGGACTTCATGTTTCCCTGCTGGATTTTGAACTTGCTTTGCTCCCATTCTTTTGGTCTCACTATGCAGTGAGGCTGGTCTTGAGCTCACTTTGTAGCTTGGACTGGTCTCAAACTTGTAGTGATCCTCCTGCCTCAGCCTCCTAAGTACTGGGATTACAGGTGTGAGCCACCACACCTGGCTGGTCCCAAGCCTTTGTATCCATGTTTGTAACTTTGGAAATGAAAATGCTTATCTTGTGCCACTGAATATTGGAAGTGGCTAACATGATTTGCACAGGGTCTTGCAGCTAAGCGTTTTCCTTTTACATTTCAGAGGAGATTCGGACTTGGACTTTTCAGCAGCAAAGAAATTGTTAGAACTTTGACAATTCCTGGAGATGGACTGAATGTCTTCTGTATCAAGAGATGTGCATGGGGCAGAAATGTTTTGGTTCTAATGTAATATAATGTTGACAGACTTAATATTGGTGCTTAAGGATTGTTAAAGCTGTGTTCTAATGTTCAAATTGTGAATGAGGAAAACATAAGGAAAACTAATTTCCTCACCCAAGGAAAACGTTTCCATTTGTATGCAGGACAGTTATAACAGGTTAGGAGCAATTATAAGCATGTGTTTGTATCTGGAGACCAATTTTTTTTTTGTCTTTTTCGTTTTTATCGGTACCAGGGATCGAACTCGCGACTGCCTGCTTGCAAGGCAGTGGAGACCAATTTTTAAAGAAAGGTATCTGGTTGCCAAGTCAGTAAGGGGTGAACTGTAGTGGTTGATACATTGTGTCAGCTTGAGAATGATAAAGTTTAGAAGCTTAACTAAGTGACTCAGCAGGGGGCCATATAACCCCCCCCACACACACCTTTGTAAACATCTGGAGCCTGTGTAAGAGGAGGAAGTGGAGATGGTGTGGGCAGGTCGCCTGCATACAGCATCAGGGAGAGGAAGAGGCTTGCTTTCCCCCTTTTTTGGGCTTACTGCTTTTGCTGTCTTCCACCACCTTGCATTGTTGCCCCTCTGCCAGGCCACCCCGCCTCAGAGCCAGCTGATCATGTACTGAAACCTCCACAAGCTGTGAGCCTTATTTATTTATTTATTTATTTAGTCTTTTTTCATTTTTATTGGTACCAGGGATCGAACTCACGACCGCCTGCTTACAAGGCAGGTGCTTATGCCACTGAGCTAAATCCCCAGCCCCTAGCTGTGAGCCTTATAAATCTCTCCTTCCTTAACTTTGGGTGTCCGGTATTTTATCTCCATGAGGTGAGGAAAAGTAACCAAGTAACCAGCCCTCCTGTAGGTCTGCGCAGTGGCCTCCCTAGAATGCCCACTCTGTCCACAGCAGAAGGCGAGATACACATTCTCTGTCCCTTCTGATGATTTTAGAGACCCCACAGGCTACCCCTACCACCCCCAACCTCTAACCTGCCCCACTTCCAGTCTCACCAGGTCCCGTGCACCGGTGTGAGGCAGGGGCTGCACAATGTGTGTGCAGGTGGCACCCGGGGTACAGCGCTTCCCCGCCAGGTCCAGCAGGGCTGGGGAAAGGAAGGAGGCAATGGCCACGGTCTCAAAGCTCCTGTCTGCTTCCTTTTCCCAGCAGTGCTGGAGCTGGAGCCCAGCGTCTTTGCACAGAGCCATCTCCCCAGCCCTGTATATTGTTTATTTTGAGACAGTGTCTCTCTAAGTTGCTAAGATTCCCAGGCGAGCTCAATCCCGTGATCCTCCTGCCTCAGCCTCCTCAGCATGCTCTACTCCAATCAGATTCTTTTCTTTGGTGGGGGAACACAGATCTGATCCGAAGCAGATTAACGTCCACAGGTAGAGGAGATGCCCACTTGGGGCTAGAAGACCCATTCCACCCACAGGAAATTGAGGGATGGTGCTTGGTAGGGCTCACGGTGTCCCCAGGAGTGCCAGCTGCAGTCACGAGGATACCAGGCAGGAAAAAAGCTGCATGGGTGCCAGGAGCCTGGCACCAGACCCTGCTGTGCACCCCTCCATCTTGTCACCTCCAAAATTAAGGCAGTGACCCATTAACAGGCCCCCAAGCAGAGGTACCGAGAGTCGGACGGCCCACCGAGAAAGACCAAGAATCGACTGAACTGGGTCTAGCTCTGTGCCTCAGTTTCCTCACCTATCCCCTGGGCGTGCTGGGCAGCCTGTCGCACTGCTGTCTGCTCTGCTCTTTCTCAGAGCTCCACCAGGACCCACGGTGTGGGGGAAACCACCCCTGCACTTCCATCCCTCCCAGTCCTGCCGCCTGTCTTGGGGTTCACTTACCTGGGGCTGAGTGGAGAGCGACACGCGGCAGGGGTCAGCGGCTCCCGGCAGGTGCACGGGCGCGATGGGCAGCTAGACCATGCCCCTGGAAGAGAGCACATGGGTCACCCAGGTCATACTGCCCCTCCACCTGCTCTACCACGTCTGCTGGGCCACGGCTGTGGGAGCCCCACACTAATGCATGCCCGGTGAGACACTGGCCACCCCTCTGCCACCCCTGGCATTGCAGGCCCCAGGGATCACAGTGCCAGTGCTGGAGCAAACCCAGGTTCAAGTGCCAGCAGCATTGCCACCCACCAGGTTGCAGCTGGCCACTGGACATGCAGTGCCCAGCCAATCCCCATAAGAGCACCCCTTTATCTACCTGTACCAGCAGCAGGGCCCCCCTCACCCTCACTTAGCTGACTCCTGAGGCCCACACGGGTTCTCAAAACAAGGGCCTGAAAGTGGATATGGCGGTACACACCTGTCAGCTCAGCACTCTGGGAGGCTGAGGCAGGAGGATCGCAAGTGGGACTCCGCTTGCTTTGCAGAATGGGAACTGCACCTCACCCCCTTCCCACACATCCAGCTGGGAGCTTTACCAGGCCAGGAGGCGTCAGCTTCCTTCCTGTATACAGGTACCTCAGCCAGGCTGCATACAAGCTCTTAACACGTAATCAGTGGTTGACAAAGGACCTCCCCAAACCTAAACTCCCCATTAGAACTCAATGCCAGAAGTCATGCATCTTCCTGCCAGCAATCTCATGGCCGGGCTCACGGGCTTTTTAAAGACAGCATTTTGGGCTGGGGGTTTAGTTCAGTGGCACAAAAGCCAGCCTGGCAGGCGTGAGGTCATGAGTTCAACCCAGTTCCAAGAAAATAAATAAATAAAATAAATACAGACAGCATTTCCTATATTTACACACATAAATATAAACTTGCACCTCATATACAGGACTGGGTTTTTTTCCTAGTATCCAACTCAGGAACTTCACACTGAGCTACATCTTTACTTTTAATTATGAGGCAGGGCTCCCAAAGTGTTAAATTGCCCAGGCTGGGCTCAAACTTGTGCTCTTCCTGCCTCAGCATCCCTGAGTGCTGGGATGACAGGTGTGCACCACTGTGAGTACTGCTCTGACCCTGGGGAAATCAAGGTCCAGACGGGTTTGAGAAATTCTGCAAAGCCACCAAGAAAAGTGTGAGGGGGCCTGCAATGGGAAGGGCCAGGTGCAGCGCGTGGCCACCACGCCCTGTCCCATCCTCTCTGCTGCCCCGAGCCTTCCTCTGCTTGGTTACTGAGTATGAGGAGACTCCACACCAGGCCCAGGGTCAGTAGGACGGTCATTCCAGGGCTGTCTCCCAGTGGGTGACCTGGGCCACACCCTGTCACCTCTGTCAGTTTCCTAAGTATGTGGGAGTGTTCCTGGGGTCAGGGCCAGCTTGACCCCTGAGGCTCCCAGCAACAGAGGCCTTGGTCCCAGAGAGCCCTCGAGTCCCAGGGAAGGAGAGCACACCCTATAACCTGAGCTTCCGGCTTCCAGTCCTGCTGCTGAGCTCCCAGTGACAGGCAAAGATGATAGTCACTGCGGGGCCTGGATTCCAGGCGGGAGTCATGCAGAATGACATGTGGGGTTTGGACTCGAGGCCATCTGACAGGCATTCAGCCCCTTACTCCTACACAGGGGCCACAGTGATTTTTGAAGAATCCACCTGCCTGCCTAGGAGCCAAGGCTACAGCTCCTGCCAGTGCCTGGGAGAGGAGGAGGGGTCCGGGCAGGTCCTGCCTGACATCTGGGCAGGGCTCCTGTCCCGCCCAAGGCCTCTCACAGCCTCAGGCCTGGGACTCCTGGGACAAATCCTAGGAAGTGACCAGGTCCCCAGTCCTCGGCACAGCTGTCCCCAAGCACAGCATCAGGGTGGTTGGGGACCCCAAGTCACCCAGAGAGCTACAGCTTTCCAACTCCATTTCCTGGTGTGTGACCTGCACCTGCGACCTCACAGCTTCTGGCTCCCTCCCCACACCTGTGAAATGGAAATCACAACACCACCGAGTTTATCAAGCTTGTGTTACAACAACTCACTTGTAAAAGAGCTAACGTACACCCAAACATGCTTAGTACACGGCAGGGATTCAGTGAAGTCACCTCAGTGGGTGTGGTTGTGCCTGCCTGTTATCCCAGCACTTGGGAGGCTGAGGCAAGAGGATTGACTCAAGTGTGAGGCCAGCCCGGGGTACATAGCAAGACCCTTTATCAAAGAACTGAAAAAACAAAAAAAGAGGGCACACAAGGGACCAACAGGCACAACCCAAGACACTCAGAGCGTCAACTTGTTAAGAAAATGCTACTCAAAAGCACAGTGAGGTATCATTCCAAACTCACCAACATATCTCAGATTAAAAAACTAGACCAATTCATGTATTAGCAAACATTTAGGAAAATCAGAAGCCTTCCACAGATTGTGGGAATGTGGAATGATACAGCAACTTTAGCAAAACAGCCTAAGCAGACAGTTACCATATAAACCAGAAATTCTTCACCCAGGTATGTGCTCAGCAGAAAGGAAAACTCACCCCCACATACACACTTGTAAATAGCTACATTTTTCATAAGGACCCGAACAGCAGAAACAGTCCAAATGTTTATCAGTGTCTAAATGGGTAAACCGAATGTGGTATACCCATACAATAGAATATTATAGAGCCGTAAAAAGTAGAAAACGATATATGGTGCCACATAGACATACCGCAAAACATCGTGCTCAATTAAAGAAACTAAATACAAAAGTGTAAAATGATGTGTAGTTTCATCTGTATAAAATATTCAGACAGGAAATATCAGGCAGAAAATATTCAGGCAAGAAATTCAGTCAGAAGATAAATTAGGGTGGCTACGAATTGTTTATCTGTAAAACTGGTTTTAAAAAGTGATCTTGGTCAATATCCTACCTCTAGACCAGAGCACAGAAGGGCAAAGGGCAGAGTCTTGGGCAGGGGATGAATGCAGGGCACTAGCGGACATTAGGCTCATGTCACCTCTGAGATGGAACAGGTGGGTGGTGCCAATGGCACTGGCAGCCAGGGCACGGGAGCCTTGTACCCAGGGACGTCCCCAGGGAACCACCTGGAGAGCCCCTTCCCATGTCAGGTGCAGGGCACGTCCCCACCTCAGCTCCTCCGCAGTGGTCACCGTTCTGCCTCAGCAAAAGGGGCCTCCGGCACCCAGCAGCCTCACATCCAGACAGGAGCTTCTGGGCCACCTCCAAGGTCTGCACAAAACCGGAAATGGCCTCGTCTGTGCCCTTCCCTGAGCCAGAGGTGAGCTCGAGGTATGAGTCACTTTAATGTATTTTAAAACCCTACTTAATTAGGAAGCAGAGCATCTGCTTAGGGAGAAAAAAAGTGTCATGGTGTATGTAATCTTAAATTGTTACCTCATCTCGACGGAAGTAAGAACCACTTCACTTCGCTGACGGTGCAGTTTTGGGCATGTCAGATGATTGACACAGAGACCAGCAAACTGGGCAGGAGACCCTCCCCGGATGTGGGTGGCACCAGCCAATAGGATTGGACGGAGTATAAGGGAAAGAAGCAGGAAGTATACCTGGTGGAAGAACTATGGGCACCCTGGAGGATGAAAAGACTATGTAGAGATGAAACCTGCTGACAGGCGGGGGGGGGGGGGGGAGGGCTATTTCTCCACCCAGTCATTAGGGAGACTCTAGGAGAAGAAAAAACACCCAGCAAGCTGGGAACTCTGAATTTTATGTAGAATATTGGTGTAAGACAAAAAAGCTGGAGAAAAGCATTGTGGGCCAAGAGCTGTCTCAAGGATGGGCAGCTTTTCTCCGGAAAAGCAGAAGGACAAATGCCAGACGCAACAAGTTTCACTTAATCTAAACGTCCTGTTTAACCATCTGGTTCTCACATGGCCAGTGTGCTTCGGCCCCCACTGTAACCATTCAGTTTAATCACTGACTCGTGGCCTTGTCTTCCGATGCCCATGGTCTTTGGACATCAGTCTCGTTCCTCAGCCTTCTCCTACCTGACAGCTACCAGAAGCTCCTGGACCTCTGGCCTCCCGCCCTTGCTCGCTCTGGCTCCGGGCTTCTGGCCTTGTGGGCTGAGCGGGTCGGACCCGGATAGCCATAGTGAACAGTTGCCTTGGACCCCGTATGCGACCTAATAAGTCCCCCCATGTGATTACACCATCAGTCCCATTCTCCTAGAGAAGTCTTGGACATGGTGTGAAGTCAGAGATGGGTGGTCCAGGATTATGCTATGCTAATTCTGAGGTGACTCTGGCTTAAGAATGACTGCTTCTACCACGGTCCCCAGGTAATGAGTGTAGCTGTGCCCAGAACACCATCTTTGGTTGCACTGTCTTGGCTGCCTCAATGTCTTGAATGGATTCAAAACGTTTCCCTTTCCTGGTCACTGTGACTCTGGGGAAGAGCCAAGAATTGCACAGGGCCAGATCCAGTGACTGAGGTGGATGAGGACACAGTGTTGTGGTTTTCTGAGCTGCCTTTCCATTGGACGGCACTGAGCAGTATTTTTTAACACATCTGGTAAAGACCCTTAGGAAAGAGGACTCCAGAGCTGCTGCAGAAAGTGTGAATGTGTGTGAAGCCAGGGGATATTTCAAGGGAGATTCATGATGATGTGTCTTTTCCTGTAATAATTTTAAAAATTTAAATATTCACCAGCTAATGGGGTCACACCTCATATGTCCACCTATAGGGGCATGAAAGTTCATAGCTGTGTAATTCTACACCAGTGTCAACCTGGAAAAAACCTGAAGGTCCATCCACATGCAATGAGTAAGTAACAGGGGACAGTCATGCAAAGTGACCCTCAGTGACACATGACAGAAATGAATCTCACAAACACAACATTTGATGAAGCCACCAGGAACAAAAGCTTCCCTACTCTGTAACTGAGTCAGGCTGCTGTAACAGAACCAGAGTAGGTGGCTCAGACACCACATAGCCCCAGTTCTGGAGGCCAAGTCCAAGATCAAGGTGCTGGCACAGCTGGGAGCCATCGAGGGACAGATGGCACCTTCTTCCTGGTCCTCGTGAGAAGGGGGCAGGGTTCACCCTCCTCTTAGGACAAGGGCACTAATCTCAGCTTGGGGCTCCACCCGCATGGCCTCATTTAACCCCCATGACCCTGTATCCATTGCGCTTTAGGGATTCCACTTGGCACCAGTGATGAGCCCCAGAGGAGGTGGAGCTGGGCTTTCAGCAGCACAGGGTGCTCCTGCCTGGTTCAGGTGCAGATTTTTCTCTTTCCAGAGAAGGGCTTAGCAGGGGGTGGTGCCTGCGAGTCAGGGTAAGGGACCTCTGTCTTACTGTGGGATAAAAGTTGTGGAAGGACTCTGAAAACTACAAAAATACTACACCAGGTGCAGTGGTGCACACCTATATTCCTGGCACTCGGGGCTGAGGCAGGAAGATCATCACAGTTCAAGGCCAGCCTTGGCTACATAGTAAGACCCTATCTCAAAAAACCAAACCCGGAAAACAAAAACACCAGGCAAAACAGCCTGGACTTCAGGGCAGTAGGAGTGAGGCCTTGAGACCGGCCACCTCTGTCAGAGTGGGGACAGGACAGGACATTTCCAAATGCTGTCTTCTGAGATTGGGTATGCAGTCCCTTGCTCATGACTTCCACTGCAGGACAGAAAACAGTTCACTGCCCATGAGCAGGATTCTGGGGATCCCCTGGGGCCTGGGCCACTGCCTCTTCCAGCATAGTTGCTGTCAGTTCCCTGGGCCATAAAAAGCCAGCTCTGTGGTGCCTGAGGCCCTCAGGTTCCAGAGATGAAATGACCCTCTGCCGACATCCAGACAGGGAGAACACAGATGACCCCAGAGGTAGGGACAGTCACTCCCCACCTATCTGATCTGGCACTTCTGTTTTGAGGAGCTCCCTATCAGGGGTCAGGCCTGCTACCAGGGTCTATCTTTGGCCAGAGAATAAGCTCAGAATTTTTTCTTTTTCTTTTTCTTTTTCTTTTTCTTTTTCTTTTTCTTTTTAGGTCTGAAGATAAAACCCAGGCCCTCGCACTGAGATACATCCCCATCCCTTTTTATTATTTTGAGACAGGGTCTCACTAAGTCACTCAATTACTCAGGCTAAGCTTGAACTTGTGATCCTCCTGCCTCAGCTTCCCAGAGTGCTAGGGTTACTGGCCTGGGCCACCCCCCCTGGCATATCTTTGGAATTCACATCCTGATTGCTGAACCAGCCTCAAGCCCAGGGCCTGCTAGTGCCTGGCCAACGCTTCCTGAGCAGATGAAGGGAGGAAAAAGCAGCTCCCCACACAGCCCAGGAGAGGAGCTCGGAGCCCCCCTGCCATGCAGCTGGCAAACCAGCAGCCTGGAACCGGGTGCCAGGTCAGCAGAGATTAAGCGGAGCTCCTCCTCCCTCCGTGCCGCCAGAACAGAACGCAGAGATGTGCCTGCCGCAGCCACCAGGATGGAGCAAGCCACGCGAAGAAAACAGCAGTGAATTATTCATTTCCCACAAATGAGCAGCCGAGAGGCGCCGAGAATCCTGTGAGTGACAAGGCTGAGCCCGACAGCCCGCACCAGGCCTGTCTGCACTGCTCCCACTCAGTGTCCAGGGCGAACTGAACCAGCTTCGCCAGCAGGCAGAGGCTGTAGCCCTGCCAGGCTCCCGGGAGGCAAGCTTAGCTCGGCCCAGCCTCCAGCCCCAGGCCCTGCCAGGGAGGCATGCATGGGAGGGTGCTAGCTACCTCGCTGATGCCCAGGCCCTGCCGGGTGCCCACCCCATACAGGGCCAGTGTCAGGACCAGCTGCCTCCGAATGCTCCACCCAGGGACTCGTGACATGCGCTGTGGCAGCGTGGAGACCGTGGGCAGCGGGGACGTGAGAGGGACTGGGGCAGCCCCAAGCGGGTCTCCTCTCGGAGCCAAGGGGGAACTGAGCTGCTTTGCGCTGCTCTTCAGAGAAGCAGCGTTGCTTGCTCTGGGTAGTGGAGACCCAGATCTGGGAATTCAGGAGAGCAGCTGAGTCACCAGGTGGGAAGGGAAGGGACACCCCAGGTCCCTTCAAGGACTTCTGTAAGGTCTCAGCAGACATCTGCTGCTTTCAGTGCAAAAGCTGCTCCTCGGGGGTCCCTTCGGGGTACCTGTGTGACACCTGGTAGCTCAAAGACACACACACCTCCAGGCAGGTGTCCACCTCCTCCAGGACCCTAGCTGGCCCTGCAGGACGCCGAGGCTCTGGCCTGCCCCTCGGCCTAGGAGGATGCAGCAAGCCAGGGACCTGCACCAGCCAAGCCTGGAGGCCCACACTCTACCCTGGGCTGGAGCAGGAGTTCCTCCCAACACCTCCATTTTTTCACTCGGGACAGACTTAGCAGGGCTCCTACTGTGTGCCACGCGGTGCCTACATGTTACAGACACCGTGGTAAACAACAGTGATCTCTGCTTTCCAGGAGCGCTCAGTGTGGCCGGTGCCCCAGGATATGAAGAGACCAAGAGACAGGTGCCACAGGCCAGTGAGCACAGGATAGAAGGGCAAGCCACAGAGGGAGGGGCCTCCGAGCCAATTAGTGACCAGGGAAGTCTTCCTGGAAGAGGCCAAGTCTAAGGCCGAGGAAGAGTAGTTTCCATGCTGTGGGAGGGAGGGAGAGAGAGAGAAGCAGGTAGGGCTGGGCCTGAGGGGGCACAGAACCTGCAGGAGGCAGTGATGGCTGGTGGAGGTTGGTGGTAGTTCTGATCAGTGTGATCACAGCTAAGGTGGCCTCTGGCCAGGCACCTGCGCATGGGTCCCAGCAGGCCGACCCGGCTGGAAGAAGCCCAGGGACTGGTCAGCGAGGACACACTGGGCTGCTCTGTGGTGTTACTGGCCAGGGACCCACGGGAAGCTCGTGTTGCTTCCCCACCACCAGAGAGCACGGGCGCTGGTGATGCCAGGCCAGGAGGACCTGTGTGGTGCTGGGGTCACCCAAGGGCAGAGCCGCCTGGAAGGCCATGCCCGCCTGGCTCCCTGCCTGGGGCTGGCATTCAAGCCATCATAGCCTGTGACCGCCCTTCCACATGGACCTTCAGCCTCTGGTGGCCCAGAGCCCCCGGCTGCTGGATGCTGGAGGGCTCCAGGGCAGGCACTGGCCTCTGAGTGGCCACCCCTGCCAGTCGCCCTGGTCCTGCCCCTTCTCAGAACCAACCAGACCCTAGGCCTTCTCCAGCTGTGTGCCTCCACCCTGGCTGAGCTCCCAGCTCACAGTCTCCTGGAATTTTCACAGCTCTCCTCAGCTTTGCACCTGGACAATCGGACCAACACCTCGGAAGATACCTGGAAACCAATGACCTGCTCCGGGCAAAGCCACAGCCATCCCACTCCTCATAGCCTCTGAGGGGGACCAGGGACCATCTGCAAGGCCACCTGATCACACCACCATCCAGCTCCCATCACAGACAGGGAGCTGGAAGGGCCCAGGCCACAGCTCAAAGCAGGAGCCTGGGTGGGTGTCTTGGAGCTTGGCAGCACATCTCCCAGGTTCCAGACAAAGTCACTTCTGTAAGCCACACCTCAGACCCCTCATTACTGTTTACTTTTTTGAGACAGTGTCTCACTGTGTAGCCCAGGCTGGCCTTGGACTCACAGAGACCCTCCTGCTTCAGCCTCCCAAGCACTGAGATTACAAGTGAGCGCCACTGCACACAGCAAAATTCACCTTTTCTAGTTGCACAGGTCTAAGGGTTTTGACAAATGAATCACTAACTACCACCGTAACTTCAGCGCAGCAGTGGAATGCATGTTAACAAGTGGTTCCAGCTAATATGAATATTCATTGTCGCCTAGCTATTTCGTTGAATTATTTTACTAATCACCAGTTATCCAACGATTTCCTTGGCTTTTTTCCAAATATGAGAGACTAGCAGAATGAGACCCAGCTTCTGCTGTATGAAGGGAACGCACCGGTGCCTAAGACAGGGGCCTCCTGGTTTGTTTTCCCCTCCCTGTCCAATCCTGCAGCGGGAAAGCGACGGCCGGAAAGGAGCTGATGTGCCCCAGGTCGCACAGCTGGGAGAGGCCCATCTGGGGCTTCCATGCGGGTCAGTGCTGCCTCCCAAGTCCAGGTCCATCCTCCACCGCCACACAACAAATGACATCACTGTTGGCTCCAGAGGGTGGCAGCAGCCACGCCCTCCACTGCTCCGCTCCACAGCTCTGGCTGGGGATCTCCCAAACCAATGCCAGTCCAAAGTGGATGGTGGGTGTCCAAGCAGCAAGCAGGAGAGGCCCTGGCCACTCTGCCTGCCCAGTGAGTTGCAGGGAAGCACTACATGTTGCTAGGCAACGGAAGTGTAAATAAAACGGGGCAACCTGGCTTTCTGTGAGGGATCCCCTCCCCGCTTTTCTCCCATGGGAGTTTGTAGTGTTTCTTCTCTGAAGAATGGCAACTTGGGGAGAGGTCTCAGGGCCCCCACCAGGCCCAGTGTCCCCGAAATGACTGCTCTTCTGAGGCTTCTCCTCTCCTCCATGGTCATGAGCATCTGTCCCACAGGGTAGAGAAGCCCAGAACCCTGAGCAACAGCCAGCCACCGAGAAGTCACAGATAGGCTCGAGGCCGGAGGGAAGCAGCCAGGGCGCCCCCTCCAAACTATTAGGCCCAGCCTCAACCCCCAGCCCTCCGGAGCCACATTAACACTCCCCGCAAACTGCTCCCCACATTCCACTAGCACCTGTCTCCTGTGTGTGGACTGGAACAGGCATGGGTGTCCCTCGCTGGGGCGTCGGAGGCAGGGGTGGCAGTGTCGGGGTGGGCGTCCCTCAGCCCAGCATGCTGCCCAGAACCCCAGACCTGGAGGAAAACGGAAGCAAAGGGTGCAAGAGAACTGGGGGGCTGGGTCAGGACATGACCACAGGTGACTATTTTTGTGGCAGTGGGGATTGAACCCATGGCCTCTGCCCTGACCTGTACCTTCAGCCCTGTTATTTATTTATTTATTTGTGGAACTAGGGCTCTAACTCACGACCTTGTGCTTGCCAAGCAGGCTCTTATGCCTCTGAGCTAAATCCCCAGCCCCTATTTTTAATTAATTAATTCACTTACTCTGTTTTGAAGTCCTGCGGGTTGAATCCAGGAAGAGCCAATCAGAGAGAGAGGTCCCCAGGATCCGGGTGCCCCAATATCCAAAACGAGGAGACCCTAGGCTCCTCTGCCCTTGGCTTCTGAGGCCGAAGCCAGCAAAGCCCACCTCTGGGAGCCAACACCGAGCCACTTGGAACCTGACCTCTGGTTTCTAGGAAAGCTGCTGTCACGGTGCCTCAGGACGCTTTAAACTTTAATTTTTCTATTACTGAATCAGATGATGAGGAAGAGACTGCCAGGCCCTGCCTCCTCATGCCTTATTCATGGAATTCTGAGAGGAGCGAGGAACAGGGAACCCTCCTGCGGGCCGGGGCAGGCCCTGGCCCCCCTCATCCTGGGCTGCCCACCTGCCAGCCCTCAGGCTACCTCTGTCCCCTCCCTCAGCGACACATCCATCTCAGCAGGACGTAGCTCTCTGGGGTAGCCGGCTCCTCTGCACCTGCAGGTTTAGGACTCAGTGCCTGAGGCAGGGGACAGGAGCAGCTGTCCTGCTGCATCTGCAGGTGGCAGCTGTCAGCGTGGTGACTGAGGAAGTGATGTGGCCCAAGCCACTGACCACACAGGCATGGGGAGGAGAAAGCTGGGGGACTTAGGCAGTGCACAACACCAGCTGCCACGCCCTGCCTTGGTGACAGCGTGTGTCCTGCTGTGTCCTGATGCCTTGTTCACCCAATGTGACATTGAGGCGAGATTCCACCCCCGCTTCACTCCCCAACCTGTGAAGGTTCACCAGAGGCTGAGGCCACAGAAACATGACACTACTGACCCCTGGGCTGCTGAAGGGTGATCCGAGTGGGAGATAAAGCGAGACTAAAATCAGGCCAGCTGGGGACAGATTAGCCCGGCGCAGGCTCAGGACTATGGCTGAGCAAGTGGCCCCAGCTTCCAGCCACACTGAGGCTGGATGGTGGCTTCACTCAGGACAGAGTGCAGCGCACACAGAACCCTGCGGGGTCCAGGCTGCCCACAGCATCCCCTGAACTGTCACTGGCACCCCTGGCCACCTGGCCGACTCCCAGCCCCTCATTTGGGTGGTGGCTCCTACCTGGCCTGTGGCCAGGCCCACCACACCGCCAAGCCCTCAATCCCCACATGGGTCCCTTTGTCCTGCAGAGGTGGAAATGCAGGTTGGTGGCTGAGTCGGGACCTGAGCCCTGCCAAGGCCCCCACTCAAGATTGTCCTGAGCTTGTCCTGGTGTCCACATGCCTGGGTTCCCAAGGAGCAGGACCGGCAGGAGGCACCCCCAAAACACTGTGTCCACCTGGCCTTCTCCTGCTCCTCAGGCCCTCCTGCTGCCAGTGCCCACTTAGGGCCCCCCAGGGGCCATGGCTTTGCAGTGAGAGTCCTGACACTTCCAGCAGGGACAAATTCACAGACCCAGCCCAGCCCAGCCTGGTGGAACAACATCAAAGTCCTTGCCCCATTGCCACGTTCTGCTCAGGCCCCATGGCGCTCGCCAGGATCCACAGATACGGGGGCACCAGGTGCTGATGGGGACCTGGTGTAGGTGGGGGTCGGAGGGGATGATGAGGCTGAGGCCCTGGGGAGCAGGGCCACTTCCCATGAAGGCAACAGGAGGCCTCGTCAACATCCACTGTCCTCTGTGAAGGACGAGAGGGCCCGGCCCGTCCACCTGTTCGTCTCGGCCAGGGGACTGACCCAGGGTGCACCGAGAAGATAAGTGGCCCAGGTAGGCACCTGCATGCTAAGATAAGGCTATTTATAGAGCGGCAGAACTGTTTTCTCCAAAATGCCCAGAAGCGCACGGCGAGGAGGGAGACAGGCTGGAGGACACAGGAGGGAGGGCCCAGCGTGCTCGTGTCTCAGAAGCCTAAGCTGCACTTCTTGAGGCAGAGCTAGTTCTGGTCTGGTTGAACCCGGGCTTCCTTTCAGCGCCCTGCTGGCTTCCCCTCATGGTCCATATGCACCATCGGTCCATTCAAAGGGAATCGGTGAGCAGCATGTGGGGCACCCACACCTGTGATCCCAGCACTCAGGAGGCTGAGGCAGGAGGATTGTCATGAGTTCAAGGCTTGCCTCAACTACACAGGGAGACGTTATCTCAAAAAACCAAAATAATAATAATAATAATGAAAAAAAGAGAGAGAATCAACAGTGTCCACAGGATGGAGCTTGCTGGCATAACTACCACCTCCTGCAGGAAGCCTGCAGGGACTCCTCCCGGCCCACCCTCCCCTGCGCCTGGTGCTATCCTGCCTGTCCTCAAACTTGTTCCTGGTTCGGGTAGGTGCACACGAGTGCTGGCTCTGTGGCCTAAGCCAGGAAGCAGCCAGGAAGCAGCCAGGAAACAGCCAGGAAGCCAGGGCCCCGGCTCAGTAACACCATATGTCCACATTCACCTGACACTGCCTCCAGGTGCTGACACCCCGACAGGGTCCAAAGGGAGTCCTGGGCCCTGCATGGATTCTGCAGGCCAGAGAAGATCTGGAGAGGGGTCATGGGGGGCCTGGGGCCAGTGGGATATGGGGGCCTAGGTCTACAGCCCTAGAAGACAAGGCTGGGACATAGGCATTGGCCACGGCCACTGGACACTGTGCCACTGGGACACAGTGAGGCGTTTCCAGGCAAGTAGGGACCCAGGAGCCCTCTGCCTGCCCCATACCAGGAGCAAAGCCTTGGCTGCTGCCAGCTTGGCAGACGTGCTTTTGGGACAAGCAAGTCATTACGACATCCTTAGCTGTGGGCTACGAAAACCAAGCGGGTGGCAGCCGTGACTTATAGCAGATACAATCAGATCACCTATTCCTGGATTCTGTAGTCACCAAGATGTCGATAAGTCTATTCCTGAAATGTCACTTCACAGCTGCTTGCTCCCTGGCCAGCACCGGCCTGCTGACCTTGATCCCGGAGCCTGTGGGGCCAGATTCCCAGAGCTCAGGCTTGAGGCTCTCCTGATGCGTGGGCCAGGCCTGGAAAACCACACCACCGATTAAGTGAATTAAGAGCCGGGCACGGGGTGCACACGTGTGATGCCAGCACTCAGGAGGCTGAGGCAGGAGGATCACCTGGAGTTTCCAGCCAGCCTGGGCTACACAGTAAGTTCAAGGCCAGCCTACACTACAGAATGAAACCCTGTCTCATAAAACAATAAAAAAAGAAACCTACACCAAGTGGCCCCTTGCCCAGCTTCAGAGCCTGGCTCCCTGTAGCAGACACGGGATCCTGTGAGATAAGGGTGGGACACCCTGCACAGCTGCCGCCTTGGCAGAGGCCAAGACTGACCAAGGCTCCTCCCACAGCCAGGCTCAGCTGTCCCCTGGAGACAGAAGCCCAAGCCCCATCTCCGACAGGAGCACAGGGCAGAGCAGAAAGCTCTGGTCCTGGATGCCTCAGAAGCCAGGACCCTGGAGTGTCCATCATATCTGACCCACAGGTCAGCCCAAAATGTCCTTCACACCCCTGCTGTCTCCATCACACAACTCTCAGGTCCCCAAACAGGATGGTTTCATCCCAAGAACCTTGAGCTGTCACAAGCCCTCCCTGGGACTCGGCCCTTCCATGAGGGCGGCATCTGGAGTCTAGAGACAGCAAGACCTGACTCCTGCATGGATGCTCCTCACCAGACACCAGGCCAGGAGCAAATGCCAGCTCATTCCTGGTGTAGGAGCCACCCGTGCCCACCTCTCCCGATGCAGGCGACAGCAGGCATCCAGCAGGTGCCTACTCAGTGAAGGCCAGTGGTGGGTAAGCAACAGGGTCATTAAGAAGAAAGTCCCAGCTGCGTGCAATGGCGCATACCTGTAATGCCAGCACTTCGGGAGGCTGGGGAAGGAGGATCACAAGTTCCAGTTCAGCCCAGGCAATTTAGCAAGATCCTGTCTTCAGAAAAGAAAGGAAGGAAGGAAGGAAGGAAGGAAGGAAGGAAGGAAGGAAGGAAGGAAGAAGGAAAGAAGGAAGTTAGTTATTTCTTCCAAAGGGATGTTGGGTGGGGATGGGGAGAAGGGAGGGAAGCCATGAATGCAGAGGCCTAGAAGCCCTTCGCCCCCACCCCTGCTCTGCAGTCACCTGCATCAGGGCCACAGGGAAAGGAGGCGCCAGGAGCCGGGGCCCTGGGGCCACAGCTACCCCAGAGCCGCCCACCTGAGGCTGGGCCCCTCTGGCCACCGTGCCTCTGCCCTCCGAGCCACCAGCGATTCTGCCGCAGACAGGAAATATGACTCACCCCGCCTGCTCCCTCTGGGATCCGCTCTCAGTCCCCTCCTTGCTGCCGTGGCACACCCAGGCTCTGCTGGTTAGCGCGGGGCCAGACCCGCTGAGGAAGGGGCCCCATAAGCAGCACTTTGTCCCCCACGCTCAGCAGTTCCTCCAGGGTGGTAAAGAGGCTCCATCCTAGCCAAGCACAGTGGTGCACGCCTGTCGCCCCAGCACGCTGGGAGGCGGAGGCAGGAGGATCGCAAGTTTGAGCCTGGTCATGGCAATTTAGTAACTTAGTGAGCCTCTGTCTCAAAATAAAAAAGCTCCGGCGGCGGGCGGCAGCAGCAGTGAATCACCGCGTTCCCGGAAGGCCAGGAAGGGTCGCGCACTTGGAAGAGCACGCCCTTTTTGCCCCTCTCCACCCAGAGCGACCCCTGCAGGAGGCTGGCTCACTGCCGCCTTCACCGCCTCCGCCGGACCCACGTCACAGCCACAGCCGGATGAGGAAGCACTGCAGGATGACCAGGAAAACAGGCCAACAGGAAAGATGGCGAGTAAGGCAGGGCCGTGACCCTGTGGGGCCTGCAATGGCGCCCCACAGCTGTAGCCCCGAGCCCAGGGCGCAGGGAGGCAGGTGGGTGGCAGCCCGTTAGTTTTCCAGATAGGTTCTCACTCTAAGTCTCCAGGGCTGGGCTGGAACTTGCAATCCTCCTGCCTCAGCCTCCTGAGTAACTGGGATCACAGGCATCCACCACAACACTCAGCAAGAAGATTTTGAGGAGCAGACCTTGCTGTCCTGCCACATAGTATGGGACAGTGGAAAGAATGTGGGGTCACAGCCCCCGGGCCTGCCTGTGTTTTGACCCCCAGGCCTAGGCTGTGCTCTGGGCGTCCTGCAGCCTCAGTTTCCCATTCTATAACAGGACAGCCGAGTACCCAAGGGGCAACCTGGCACGCAAATATGGAAGGAGGTTGACCCTACCTAGCCAAGCAAGCAATGACCTGACTGCTTAGAGCAAAGGGACAGGGCGGCCCAGGGGACCTCTCACCTGCGGACCCTCAACCCTCTCGGGAGGCATCTGAGGAATGAACTGGGAGGGCGAGGGGCCTGAAGGGCGGAGCCCGGAATGGGAGGGAGATTCCCAAGCTGCGGGCTGCAGGGGAGGAGAGCGGGGAGGACGATTGCGCAAGGGTAAAGCAGGGTGTTGGAAAGCCCAGGGTGGGGTGAGCTCCCCGTCACGGGAGGAATGCAAGCCCAGAACTGATGAGCGGTAGCTTTACAAAACCAGTTAGCATAAGAACCTTCTCAAGCGTCTCTATGCATTTCAGATCAGGGGTCAGCAGACCTCCCAGGAAAAGCAGCACAACATCCGGGGCTCTCAGCCTGGGTCTCCGCCCCAGCCCAGCGGGGTCTGGGTAGGAGGGGGAGCTGCTCTGGGTCACGTGTCCTGTGGCGCCGCCTGCCCTCCTGGCATGTCCAAAGCAGCCCGGTCCCCTTCCCAGCAGGGTCCAGGCATTCTGGGCAACGCTGCCATCTCCTTCACCTCAGTCACCTTCCATCACATAGTGTTTATCCTGTTGCTTTGTTTTGTATTCTTTTTTGAGGCAGGGTCTTCCCTTAAAGTTCAGACTGGTCTTGAACTCACTATGTAGCCCAGGCAGATTTCAAACTCGAGCCAATCCTCCTGCCTCAGCCTCCTGTTGGGAATCCAAAGCAAGGCCCACCATGCCCGGTATCTTAGTTTTTATTACGTTCCTGTGTGTCTGAACTTTCCACAATAAACAGATGAAAAAGAAAACTCAAAAGACTCTGAGCCTCCTTGAAACCTGATCATTACAACCCCACTGTCTGGAATAGGGAGCCAGTGTCCCCAGAGCAGGGGGCAGGTGTGGGACTTCTGTGTCTGGAGAGTTCCTTTACAGACCACCCTGCTGAGATTACAAAGCCAAGTGTCCTGAGTATATCCCTCCTGCCCTCAGCATTCTAAATGCACAAAGGCCCTGAACCCTGCACAGCTGTGCAGACCCTCACTGGTCCTCCCATTTGACAGATGTGAAAACTGAGGTTCAGAAAGATGGGTTGTGCCCCTTTGCCCAGGTTGCCTGGCAGCAACAGCAAGGCTGGTGACTGTCTTCCATCTTCATCCTCACCACTGGCTGGGGCGTCTGAGCTGCCCTGGCTCCACCTGGTCACCCAGACTCCAGCTACCCCTTCTCGCAGAGGTGATCACGCAGAGCTTGGAGCTGCCTTCCCCATGACCAGCACCAGGCACACAGTGTCCAGCCCCCGCTCTGACTTTCCTTTCTGAAGCACCAGGGATGGAACCCAGGGCCTTTGCTCCCAGCTATGTCCTCAGTTCTTTTAATTTCTATTTTAGTTTTTTTTCAGACAGAGTCTCCCTAAATCACTCAGTTGCCCAGGTTGGGCTTGAACTTGCAATCCTCCTGCCTCAGCCTCCCAGAGTGTAGAGATAACAGAGGTGCACCACAGGCCCAGCTCTCATTTTTTCTTTTTAATCTCAGGAACCATACCCACCTTCAAAGGATAACTTAGCAGGTGGCAAAAAGACCAGAAATTTCCTTTAAATCTGCTGCAGAGGCTGAAGGGCTCAGTCTCTGGTCAGAAAGGGGAGGGAGCCTCCTGCAGTGTGGCACCAGGCCTGGCTCCCTCCCCAGCCTCCCTAGGGGCCCAGCCTGGCACTGGGCTCAGGGCAGCCAACCCATGACCCAGCTCTCAGAGGCCCCGGGCACCTCCTGCCCCAGGTTCTTAGAGGCTTCTGACTGCTGCTGGGACTCAGCCTCCCTCCAGAGTGAGAGCGAGCGGCCCATCCCGCCAGGCGAGCTGGAAACCACACAGAGTCTCAGCCACTCATGGGTACAAAGCATGGCGCCTTTCAGCCTTGCTCACAGGACCAGGGATGGAAGCCGGGAGCTGCAGCCCGGCTGACTTTTGTTTGCGATGGGACCTCAGTAAGTTGTTAAGATGCCCAGGCTGGGCTCCACCTGCAATCCTCCTGCCTCAGCCTCTCAAGGAGCCCTCTGCACCCCGGGCGGTGTGATGATGGATTGGAAGGAAGAAAGGAAGTTTGCAGCCAGGCCATGCAGAGGGCACAGGGGAATGAGCTCCCTCCACTAGCATCTGTAAAGGCAGAGGCTGGGAACGTAGGCGGGGAGCAGCTCTCCTGCTGTTTAAATTCTTGGGGTTTTCAAATAATGACTCTATTGAGATATAATTTACATGTCATGCAATTTCCATATTCCAACGCATAGTAACACAGCTGGGTGTGGAGGCGCACACCTGTCATCCTAGCACCCTGGGAGGCTGAGGCAGGAGGATCTCCAGGAGCTCCAGGCCAGCCTGGGGTACACTGTGAGTTCAAGGAAGCCTAAAATATACACTGTCTCAGAAAACAAAAAGTGAGAGACACACAGGCAGAGTCAGAGTCAGAGACAGAGAATATCTAAACTCCTTTATTGGTGCAGGAACACCTTGCTGCGAGGTTTCATTTTGGGGGATCCACCCTGGATGCAATCAAGGGATCACATGGCGGCCCTCTGTATAAATTTTGGGGAACTGGCAGGCACTGCCAAAGCAGCTGCCTCTATCTCCACGGCCTGTGTGCACTTGCACTCTTCTGCTGGCGGACTCCGGATCTCTGCGGGTACGAGTGACTAATGGATCAGTGTCATTTCCTGTTCTCATCTGCCCCTCCCGTGGCCTCTCTAGAGAAGACCCTTTGTCTATATTGTCTGTGAATTGGCCTTTATTAGTAAGATGTAAGAGTTCTTTACATTTCCCAGATTCCAGTTGAGGAAGTATGCTTATTTTGCAAATATCTTCTATTCTGTAGGCTTTGGGGGAGAGGGTTTGTTTTGTGTTTTGGCAACACTGGAGGTGGAACTGGGACCTTGCACATGCTAGGCAAGTGTTTGACCACTGAGCTACATCCCCAGTCCTTTTTGAAAAATTTTATTTTGAGACCGGCTCTTGCTGTGTAGTGCAGGCTGGCCCTGCACTCACTATCTAGGATTGGCTGGCCTCAAACTCAGTGATCCTCCTGCCTCAGCCTCCCAAGTGCTGGGACCACAGGTATGCACCTCTAGGCTCAGTGTGAAGGTCGATTTCTGAACAATCCATTTTGCTTCATAGACCAGTATGTCTGCCTGTCTGTCTATCTGTCACTATTACACCACCTTCATCACTGTTGCTTTGTAGTAAGTTTTTTTTTTTTTTTTTTTTTTTTTTGTCTTTTTCATTTTTATCGGTACCAGGGATCGAACTCACGACCGCCTGCTTGCAAGGCAGGTGCTTATGCCGCTGAGCTAAATCCCCAGCCCTGTAGTAAGTTTTGAAATCAGGAAGTGTGAGTTCCAGCATTTAAGTTCTTCTTTTCAACATTGTGCTGGCTTTTCTGGGTGCCCTGAGTATCCACATGAATTTTATTTTACTGATTGTTACTTTTATTTTCTTAGTTCTAGGGAGGGAAGCCAGCACCTCCCCCAGGCTAGGCAAGCGCTCCGCCACTGAGTCACAGCGCTGCTCTGCCTCAGGATTCTAGGATCTGCTCATCAACTCCTGCCAAGAAGCTGGCTGGAAGCCGGGCACAGTGACTCACACCTAGAACCCTAGCACTTGGGGAGGCTGAGGCAGGAGGATCACTTCAAGTTTGAGGCCAGGCTGAACT